TTCTGTTCTGCCAATAGCAGTCTTGACATGAAAGTCAATGGTTCACTTATGAAACGTGTTAAACCCACTAGAAGCTTCAATGAGATGCTGTGGATACCCCATTTCCTCCTGTGCCAATGCTAGTCCTGGCAAAGGACTGCCAGGCTGCACGTTAACTATTCCTCTTCTTATTAAAGGGTCTTCTGGTAACTTTCGGACTTTCCTGTAACAGTATTTGGCAAAGCAGCTCTAATGATCTGGAGACGGGTGTTCTGCAGTACTTGGGTACCATTTTTGTCCTCCTGCTCCTCAGCCTCCTCCTGGTGATCTCCTTTCTGTCCACTCCCTTGAGCCTTCCAACCTCTACCAAGAGGGGAGTGGGAGAGAGAAAGGGGAGCCGTCAGAGCTCCCCACCACCCAAGTGCAGCTCACTCACAGCACAGGAGGATCCCAGAATTAACTGTGGTTTCTATCTTTGGGCACAGAGGTAAGCTGAGCTCTTGCAGACAATGCCCAGATGATGAAATCTGGTGGTGTGATGACAGATAAACCCACACGTGTACACACACACACTTTAATTTCTGTAAAGCTCAGGAACAAAAGCACTTTACAAGTCCCTGGGTCAGTGCCAAGTTTACAATTCGTCCGGAATGGAGGGAGGTGACTCAGGAGAGTGCAGCAAGCGCCTTTCAGCACTTAGCTCAGTGGCTGCCTTTGTGAGCTTCCGGACAAAGGTGTTGACTGTACCTGAGTCAGCTCACAGGCTCTGGACTCCTCACAGGTGCTGACTCAGCACAGGTGCTAGCCTCCGAGACTGAGCTCTGAGACTGGCAATGACCTCCCCAAACCTTCCTTTCTGAAGCTAAATAAATGGGCAAAACTCAGACAAACCTCAGGAGCTTGATGCAAACACATTTCATTTGTGTCATGGTTATCAACATTTTGGCATAAGTTAATGTCAGTCTAGGAAACCTGGTAACATGGGAACTTACTTCAAGAGCAATCAAAGAAATAGTAAAACAAGACAAATCCTTCTGAGGTCAACAATCTGGAAAGCTTTTGTCTATTCTTTTTACACCAATCTGTGTACCTTTGAATATCTTTTATTGGGGTTCTCTTCTGAAGGTATTGATAGTTTTAATCATTTATTTTCTGAGATGGGGTATTTGAAGCATGCCCCGTGAGTTTTTATTTCATCGATTTATTTGTGGTGTTAGTACTTACTGAGGTTTGAGCTTGGGGCCTGGGCACTGCTCCTTAGCTTTTATACTCAAGGCTGGTATTCTACCACTTGAACCACCGCACCTCTATTTCCTGCTTCTTTGATGGCTGCCTGAATATAAGAATCTCTTGGACTTTCCTGCCCAGCCTGACTTTGAACCTTGATCCTCAGATCTTATCCTCTTGAGTCATGAGACACCAGCACCCAGCTCTTTTTCTGTGAGTTTTGAGATACATTCAAAGTACAGATGAGAAGAACAAATTGCAAGAAAAAAAATAGCTTTCCCATTGGTTATTTGTAGGGTTCATTGGTTAGTGATTTGGGGATTTATTTTCAAGTACGAAAAACTCTATGTCTTCCAACTATCTGGGCATCTGCTGGTTCGGTGTCCCATGGGACGCCCTCCCACAAGTCAGCCCTTCATCCTCTACTCATGTCTGTGTGCAACTTGTGCAAAGAGCTCAAATGGAGTGGCAGGGCAGAGAGGGCAGCAGGAAAACAATGCTGGATCAAGGAGTCAGAAGAAGAGCCTCTCCTGCCTCACTGTCTCCAGGACGCTGTAAATGATACTCCCTTCCCTGCCCTCAATTCAAGAGATACATCCACCACTATCTATCCTCAGGGCTGTGTTGAGATAATAAATACTTATAACTCTACCGCATAGTGTATAAATGCAATATAAGGAGTTTCCACTGGTCTGAAGCATAGACTAATAATAAAACTTTTAGAAAAAAAGGGGGATTATAAAAGATTTTTCCTTTTCAAGGGAACAATTAAGTCCTGCAAAAAAATCTAATAAAGAACAACTGTAAGAATGATTCTGGCCATGTACTATGTGTGTGTATTAATAAAGTCATAAGGGCATGTCTGAAAGGCAAGATGGCACAGAACTCTGAGGGGATGGGAGAGGGATTGGGAGCCCTGCTGGGCAGACAGGCATCCCACACAGTCACAAGCACAGCAGCGTGGGATGGAATGTACTCAGCAAGACTCCCTCTTCTGTTCTCTGTTCTACTTGTTAGCAATGCTCATCAGGGGAACTGAGCTACTGGCTTGGGAGCGACCAGACTTCTTGAGAATGCATGGATACTCCTGAGGGACGCTGAAGAAAAGAATGTACCAAACTCATTGGTTCATTTTATGTACAGCAGAAAAAAAAAAGATTAGTGATATCAGCTCTTGAATCTCAGAAGCTTACTTGCTGGGATCCACAGGAGAGCCTTTTGGTGCTCATTTCATTTGCTCTTGCTGCAGAAGGTAGTATAAACAATTTCTAGGTCATGAATCCAGTGCATGAAGGCTGAGCTCACTTCCGCCTCACAGGCTAGAGGTGTTTCTTCGCCCTTACACACTGAACTTGTACAAGATGCTCATTCATGTTGGTGCTTATGCTTTTCTGTTACATGAATTTGCAAGCGACCAAGTAGAAAGGACAGGAACAGGGACTCTGAACCCAGCACTCTGCCTTGATATAACTGCCATGTGGATAGACTTGGTTTGCCTGCTCTTTTCTCCAACCTGGATTGTTTAGAAAGAAATTTTAAAAAGCATTTCATCAGCATGTGTTAGTCTACTCTTCCTGCCATCACAGAGTGATCTTTTAAATGTGGAAAATGATCTGATCACTCATGCTTGCTTGAAATGCTTCAAAGACTTGTCTTGGTACTTTGAGGTCCAAACTCTTCCCACATGTGCCATGTCCTTCAGACCCTTGATGCTTCTTCATCCTTATATATGGCATTCATCACTGGCCTACCCTTGGCTGTGACTCTTTAGCTACCCTACCACTGGGTGATTCAAAGGAGCTTCTCTCAGAACCGTTGTGTGCTTTAAGCTTGACCAATTTCTCATCAGCTTTATCTCACCTTAGAAGTCAACTCAAAGGCCAAGCATTGGTGGCTCATGCCTATATCCTAGCTCCTCAGGAGGCTGAGATCTGAGACTGGGTGTTTGAAGCCAACCCGAAGCAGAGAAATCTGAGAGTTTCCTATCTCCAATTAACCAGCAAAAGATGGAAGGGGAAGTGTAGCTCAAGTGGTAGGGCATCAGTCTTGAGAAAAAAAGCAAAGCAACAATATGAGATCCTGAGTTCCAGCCCCAGTACCAGTACACACACACACACACACACACACACACACACACACACACACACACACACACACACACACACACACAATGTCATCTCAGGATAACCTCCTCTGAGTGTAGCTCAGCTTAGCTTAGCTCTGTTATGCTTGGAAAGAACCTGAGTTTCTTCTATCTTTTTCTTCCTCTTTGTCCTCCTCCTCCTTCACCTCCAACTCCTTATTCTTCCCTCTTACCTTCTCTCTCCTTTCTTCTCCCTCCCCCTTCTCCATCTTTTCCTTCTGGCAACACTAAAGTTTGAACTCAGGGCCTTGTGCTTGCTAGTAAATACTCTGCCATTTGAGCCATACCTCTAGCAAAACTGACTCTTCTGAACTGCTTTCTCCTCTTGGCCCCAAAGAGTGTGTCAATTCCACAAGTCAGGGATCCTGTTCTGTTTTGCTCATCACCTGTGCCCAGCCCCTTGCACAGAAGCTGGATGGCTATTAAGTACATACACTGAATACACACATATCTCAGTATTCATTAGATGAACACATAGACCAATGCCTTTCTCTCTATTTATACCTAATATGTTTATGGTTTAGATTGAAAACTCCTGCACCAAAAAAAAACCCACCCCCCCAAAAAAAAAACCCAACCAACTAACCAAATCTAAACCAAAACAAAACAATTCTCTCAAGAATAAAAATCTGTCTCAGTTTTGTATATAATTAAGCACTTAAGTATGATGGTGTTACTAGATTGTTCAGGGATAGGATGAGGATAATGACACCCCTCAGAATGTTGTGAAATTACTACTTATAATTTAACAATCCTCATAACATGCTCTTCTGCTGAACGTTCCCCTTTGACAATGCTTGCATGCATGCTGCCTAATCTGAAGTGGGACTGAAGCTGAACATCACCATTGCTTCATGGACTGAACGCAAATGAAGCTCTCGACCCTGAGTCAGCTAGAATGTGCATATGGCATTCTAACATGTGGAGTCCCTCTGCCTCAGTGGACCCAAATGACAGTGATTTGGACAAAGTATTTTTTTGGGGGGGGGTCCGGTCGTGGGGCCTGAACTCTGGGCCTGGGCACTATCCCTCAGCTCTTCATCTCAAGGCTAGCACTCTACCACTTGAGCCACAGCGCCACTTCCGGCTTTTTTCTTTTTGCTTATGTGGTGCTGAGGAATCGAACCCAGGGCCTCGAGCATGCAAGGCAAGCGCTCTACCACTGAGCCACCTTCCCAGCCCCCGGTCCAATCTTAACATGGAAGACTTTTTCTATTGTGTGTAGGACTACGTACAATGCCATCGAAGTCACAAAATTCAAATCTATGCTGGTAAAGAAAGCAATGTCATTGTATCTGGCATGATACAACAAAATAAAAGCTGATTCAGAGTCCTCTGACCAAACCTCTCACACGAATTCATTCCCCAAGCCTTAGGGTTTTTTGGCCACGGACCATTTGTTCCCACCTTGTTGGCATGATGGTTGCTAGAGGCAGCAGCTCCAGGCTGAACGGCACTGTATAACCACAGACTTCTTTTACTGGAAGCAAAACCAGCCAACATGTTTGAACGATCTGAAGTCATTCCTTCTGCTTCCCCACTCATTCTTCCTCATTACCCCAGGTGCCATCCTACCCCCTCCTCTTCTCTCTTTGCGCCCCTCCCCAGGTCAGCAAGACTCCCACGGTTTACAGTGCTCATCGCCAGCTCTCTATCCAAATTCCAGACCCAGTCGATCAGCTGCCATGTTGACCCCACTTTCAAACATCTGGGTCTTTCCAAGTTCATGTGCTTTCAGTTCATGCTTCACTGGTTCCCCAACACTCCAATAGGATAGAACTAAGAGCTTCAGTTCTTGGAAATATGCATCCTGTCTCTGAAATCTTACAGTGATTTCCTCTACCTGGAATATTCTCCACACCCTTGCCCAGCTCCCTGAACCTCATCCACCCCTTAACACCCAGCTGAAATGCCGTGTCCTTTGTCTCATCCTTTTGCCACTTTCCCTGCTCTTGCCTCCAGAAAGAAAAAATAAATTCTCAAAAGATGGTTCCTCCTTGGTAGTATATAAGGTGTCCATTCACCAGTTCTCATTCTTACTTGACTCTGGGCAATAGAAACAAAGCCCTGTCTCTCCCTTTTGTATTCTTAGCACTTAGCACAAGCCTACCAAAGAGAGATGCCAGACAAGCCTTCACTGAACTGAATTAAATATGGGTTCTGACTGCCTAATAGACTGGCACAGACATTCTTTTCTCAGGTCAACAGAATGATAATTATTTCCAATAGTATGACATTCTTCAAGTGTATGCTCTTATAATAATGCTGTCACTAATTATTATCATTAACATTAGGTCATACTTTACTGACCATTAAGTCGGGGAGACATTAGTGCTATATGAGTAGTAAGTACCCCTAGCTTCCTCCATGGCTAAGGTTCCTGGAACAGCAGGAAAGAATCACATTGGGGAGTATGTGGGTACTAGAAATGTGGGATTCTAGGGGGCTGAAGATACGACTTCTTCATGGGAAGAACAAAATATATGGGGGATGGACAGATGTCACCTAACTTAGAATCTCAGACTGTGAGGAAACTCTAAAGTCTGATATCAGATTTTTGGGTCCCCCTTTTTACTATAGCAATGCACATATGGCAAACAGCATTTGAACTAATATCTAGTGTGCCACTCAGCAACGATAACTACAGCCACATTCACACTACGGTACAACCATCTGCCATCCTTCCAAACTCATCTTTCCAAACGGAGACTCCCTACTCATTACACACAAGCTCTCAGAGCTGAATGTTGGTGGCTCACACCTGTAATGTTCACTTTTCAGGAGGCTGAGATCTGAGGACCATGGTTTGAAGTCAGCCCAAGAAGAGAAGTCCATGAGATTCTTATCTCCAATTAACTACTAAAAAGCCAAAATGAAAGTGAGGCTCGGGGCTGGGAAGGTGGCTCAGTGGTAGAGCGCTTACCTTGCATGCCTGAGGCCCTGGGTTCGATTCTTCAGCACCACATAAGCAGAAAGAAAAAAGCTGGAAGTGGTGCTGTGGCTCAGGTGGTAGAGTGCTAACCCTGAGCTGAAGAGCTGAGGGACAGTGCCCAGGCCCCACAACTGGACCAAAAAAAAAAAAGAAAGAAAGAAAGTGAGGCTCTAGTGGTTGAGTGCCAGCCTTGAGCAAAAAAAAAAAAAGGCTGAGTGAAACTGCCTAGGTCCTGAGTTCTAGCCCTAGGACTACGCCCCCCTTCCCTCTCCCCCATACACAAAACCTCCCACAAGCTCCATCCTCATCTTCCTCCAACTCCTGACAGTCATTTCTCTTCTGTCCTGTCTTTGACTTTGACTACTTTATATGGAATCATACAACGCTTTTCCTTTTGTCTTTGGCTTATTCTACTTTAAGTTTCATCCCTATTATATGATATATGAAAACTTACTTCATTTTGAAGGCTGACTAATATTCTACTGTTTGGATAACCTTGTCTTTGGGCATTGATCCATTGAGAGACATTTGGGTTGCTTCCGCTCTTTAATATTATGAATAATGTTGCAATGAACATGCGTGTGCAACTGTCTGTTTTAGTTTCTGCTCACAATGTTTTTGGGTATATATCCAGGAGACTTGCTGGATCATATGGTAATTTATGTTCAATTCTTTTTGGGTCTGGTCATGGGGCCTGAACTCTGGGCCTGGGCGCTTTCCCTCAGCTCTTCAGCTCAAGGCTAGTGCTCTACCACCTGAGCCACAGCACCACTCCCGGCTTTTTTCTTTTTTCTTATGTGGTGCTGAGGAATCGAACCCAGGGCCTCAGGCATGCAAGGCAAGCGCTTTACCACTGAGCCACCTTCCCAGCCCCTTATGTTCAATTCTTTAAGGAATAACCTCTACCTTATTTTCACAGTGGCTGCCCTATTTTACCTCCTCATCAGCAGGGCACAGAGGTTCCACTTCACTTAAGCAATGTGCTTCCTGGCCTCTGGGGAGGCACAAGTTCTCTGTGCTTCTTACGTTCTCCATCTACAACATGAGAGAGTCAGAAGAGACAATCTCTAAGGCTTCTTTCAGCCATTAAAGAACAATTGTGGCTTACTTAAGGTGAGATTATAGCCAAGAATCAGTCTGGATGGTTCATGAAGCATGAGTTGGTACATGAACTCTTTTCTGATGCTGGCAATGTAATAGGCTTTCCTAGAGAAAGGCAACAAGTTTAAAAAAATTCTTCTCATGCCCTCAGCTCTCCTAATGAATGGGAATCACTGTCTGAGCATGCGCCCTCTGATGAGAAATGTCCTCCCCTGTAGCTTGCCTCACTCACACAATGACCTATAGGATAAGTATCCAACAGCACAGGTAAGATGCCAAGGCATAGCAGAATTCACCATTTATTCAACGTCACAGAGCCAGCCAGTGGGAGCCTAGATCTGCCCTGAGGGGTAGGGTTGTATTCAGAGGCAGGTTCTTAACCACCCAGGAAGGTTCCCAGGTCTCCCATTGCTCCTTTTTTTCCATTCCATTTCCTCTGCAAGGACTAACTCAATGTCCTTATCTATAGCATTTAAGCTCCTTACTTTCAGGTGTAACTGTTCCAGAATCCCCTCAGTGAGCATTTTTTCATAGTAATTTTTTCAGGCAGCTTTCCAGAAAAATCATTTTGAAGACACAGTCCTTGAAGGTGTAAGAAAGAATAGATAGATAAATCTGAAAGGTTTACATACATTATTGCACTGAAGCTTTGACAATCTCCTTATACCCTGGATTTTAATGGTCTATGTCCTTTATAAGCAAGGTCACTGAAATTCAGAGGACAGAAATTCATTAACATTACTCAACCCAGAAGTAACAGGGCTGGGTAGCTGGCCTGGCGCACTGACTACACCTGAACCGTGATCCTTCCTATGTGGACAGGCTTGGAGGGAATTCAAGTGCCATTTAGGAAAATCACTACCAGATCAATGATACATAATGATCTTGGGTGCTGACCTGGCATTAGAAAGGAGCTGAAATGCATGGAATTGAAGAGGTTGGGAGTTTCCCAGCTGTGGCAAGCCAAGGGTCTCTCTAGATGAGGCACAGGAGGCTGTGTCCTCTCTGAACAAAGACGGTCCAGGATGCTACTGGATAACCCAGTGCTAGTTACCAAACATACTCACTGTATATTTACACCGAAGATCCAGCTTCAAGTAACTGAGTTTATCTGGTTAAGAAGAAACAGTCTTCTTAATTTGATGTAAATTTGATGTAAATCTTAACCTTGCACAGTACTTGCTGTTCTACAAAGCTTGGCTGAGGTATGTGTGTGTTGCAGAGGGAGGAATATATAGTCTCAGATTTAGCTGGGGAGGACTCTCAAAATGACTCTGAAGTACTAGAATGAGGTTAGGATTTCTTCCAAAAATGTGTACAAAATTTAAGTAAGATGGATGTAATAGATCTTCAATCCAAATAGGGGTAAAATCTCTTCAGATTTTTACATGCAAAAGGTGTGTTATCAGATCAACACCAATCTAGCTTGCTAGTCCCTAAGGAACAGCCAGGTTTTGTGAGGTACAAGACACTTTCCTAACTTCCATGTTTCCAAAGACTGTGATTTCTATGCAGCAAGGTTAACAATGCACATTTCTTTATAGTACAGACTTAACAGTTTCACTTTACCATCAATTCTGTGGTCCCTCTCCCCCCGCCCCCCTTGGGTCCGGTCGTGGGGCCTGAACTCTGGGCCTGGGCGCTGTCCCTCAGCTCTTCAGCTCAAGGCTTGCACTCTACCACCTGAGCCACAGCACCACTTCTGGCTTTTTTCTTTTTGCTTATGTGGTGCTGAGGAATTGAACTCAGGGCCTCTGGCATGCAAGGCAAGCGCTCTACCACTGAGCCACCTTCCCAGCCCCAGGTGGTCCCTCTTTTTAACTACTAAACATGCCAAATCAGATGCAGTCATAGGACAAAAATATCTACCATGTAGTATGAGGTTGTTGGATGTAGGCCAGAGGCTGACATGCCTTGGGAGTCAC